GGGGCAGAGCAACTCTGCCTCGGGCTTCCTGTAGTCAGCACTGGTCAGTTTCAGCAGAAGCTGACTTGGGGACGCCTGGGGCAGAGCAGCTGGGGTGCTGCTGGGTTGCTCCAGTAGCGCCGCTCCTGGGCTGCGGCTTTGCTCCAGAGCAAAGCCTCAGAAGCGCAGGAACCCGCCGCTGCTGCGGCTTTGCTCCCAGTGCCCCTGGTCTGCTGGACATGGTCCCCAGCAGACCAGGGGCACTGGGAGCAGCTTTTCTCGCCCCGGAGGTCGAGATGGCGGGACCGCTGCCTGCGAGCTCCGGGTCGAGAGAGCCCCGTTCGTAAGTGCGGATCCGACATAAGTCGGATCCGTGTAAGTCGGGGACTGCCTGTATAGCTATTTTACAACAAATGCCATATGCAGAATTCCTCTTGCTGCACAGTAGCATGCCTGCAGGAAATACTGTGGATCTTATCAGGTTCTCATCCATGACCTGTCTAAATACCAAGCCTAATACATTTCTGCAGTACTTTCAAAACAATCTATAAAGCTAAGGTACAGATACTACTTGCTAAATTCATTTACTTGGTATTCTGAGCAACACTGCTTACCAGGATGTAGATTAAAGAGTCAAAACTGATTCTAATGGGAGCATAGACAGTGGATTCTAAAGATAATAGGAGCCACCAGACATGAAACTTTTATGTCATAGAAACTCCTCCCTGGAGCTGTTGATCCTATAAAATGGTAGGATGTGGGTGGGAATATAGTCTTGTACACAAGTGCTTACTTTGTGCTATATACAAGCAGTACCACTAGCACATCAGAGAAGATTTTACTATGCTGATGGGAGAGCTTTTGCTGCCAGAGTTGTTAATCCACCTCCCTGAGAGGAAGTAGCTAGGTCAATAAAAGAAGCTCTGCCTTAGATACAGAGCTGTCTGTACTGGGGGTTAGGTCGGTATAACTGTGTTGCTCAGAAGCATGGATTTTTTACACCTTGATTGACATAACCAATGTAAGTTTATAGCATAGATCTGACTTAAGGAAACAACAGAGCAGTGGGGTGTGCCCCTATCAGAGGCAGCAAGGGGCGGGAGCTGGAGCTGGGGGGAGCCGGTTTAAAAGCTGGTTCCCCCCCCAGCACCATCTCCATGGAAGGTAGAGGGGTAGCAGGGACCATGTGCGAGCAGGGAATCAGCTGATTCCCAGCTCGTGCCCAGTCCCAGACGCTGTGCCTCTGCTGATTCCTGGCTTGTGCCGGGTCTGCCCCACTGTGCTTTAGCCTTTTAAATGTATTAAGAGTCTATAAGTGCAGGAGCTGCAGCGGGGTTAGCTCCTGGCCCAGGAGCTAACCCCACTGCGGCTCTGCCTTTTAAATGCGTAAAGAGCCTGTCAGCTCTTAATACATTTAAAAGCTCTTAATACATTTAAAGCATAGCGGGGGGGACCCAGCACGACCCGGAACAGCTGATTCCCAGCTTGTGCTGGGTTTCCCCACTGCACACCAGCCTTTTAAAAGGCTAAAGCGCAGCAGGAGTGACCCAGCATGAGCTGGGATTCAAAGCTGTCCCAGCTCACACTGGATCCCTCCTACTGCAGTTTAGCCTTTTAAATGTATTAAGAGCTGACAAGCTCTTTATACATTTAAAAGCAGAGCCACAGTGGGATTAGCTCCTGGGCCAGGAGCTAACCCTGCTGCCGTTCCCCTGCTTACTGACTAATCGATTAGTTGATTAAACTAAATTTAACATCCCTAGTGTTGATGAGAAGCAGCTTTGGGAAAGGTGTGACCTGTCACCTTAGTGTAATGGTGTAGTAGCTCACCTGTATCTTGTCTTGCCCTCAATTTACTTGATTTCAGTTTCTTCCTGTAGTTATATTATTGCAATTCAGTTTCTCCACCCTCCTTACAATATTTTATTTCCAATTCTGTGCAGCTGCCAGTTTGTGGAGAGTGAACTCCACTTCTGAGAGAGGGAATGGTTATTCTCTTCTTGTGGTCTAGGGAAATGGTGACCTGTCCCATAAACAGAAGTACAGAAGAGCAGTTGTGGCAAGATTGCTAGACTAACAAGGAGAGCTGCTATTGTAGCTGCACTGCAAAACTAAACACAACCTGTTTTTTAACCTGTTTGGCTATGTCTACACTGGCATGATTTTGCGCAAGAACTTTTGCGGAAGAGTTCTTGTGCAAAAACTCTTCCAGAAGAGTGTCTACACTGGCATGTGCCTTTGCGCAAGAGATGTGCTTTTTCGCAAGAGCATTCGTGCCAGTGTAAACGTGCTCTTGCGCAAGAAAGCTCTAATGGCCATTTTAATCATAGGGCTTTCTTGCTCAAGAAATTCATGTTGACTGTCTACACTGGCCTCTTGCACAAGATCAGTTTATTCCTGAGTGGGAGCGTCAGAGTTGTGGCACAAGATGCCCTGATTTCATACATTAGAACGTCAGTGTTCTTGCACAAGAACTCATGGCCAGTGTAGACAGGCAGCAAGTTTTGGTGCAAAAGCGGTTGCTTTTGCACAAGATCACACCAATATAGACACAACCTTTTTGTAATGTATAGGCTTTTTCTTCCAACAGGCAATTGAATGAGTTAATCTGACTCTCTTCTTCTCCAATTAGTTGATGGAGGCTCATGCCAGCAGAGAGAAAATAATCAAAAGCTGTATTGCTCAGACTTCAAATGTAGTAAAAACTCTCCGAGAAGAGAGGGAGAAGGCCCAGGATGACATAGTATTATTAAAGCATCTGAGGCAGGAGCAGACAAAGGTGAGTGGTGACACTTCCTGGAATTCATTCAGGGATAAAGAGGGTTGGTGTCTCAGCTAACTTACTATTTTCATTGTGAAGATCTGTCAGCCCGTCCTGAATTCTAGCTCATACAACTCAAGTCTGGCTACTTGTTGAGTTGATTGGCAAGAGGACAGCCTTCAGTCCACGAGATAAAACTGTCCACACTTTTAATCTATAATTTGTTGCGACAACATACAAAATAAACAGTTTACTCACCAAATCGTAGAGTAGGGTCTTAACCAAATAACATCCATTTACATACAGTGAATGTTCCTTGTTTAAAAAAAGAAGAGAAGCAAATCTTTGTTAAAGGTATCCTGGCAGGACCTCATACCTTTTCAAAGCTTGTGCCTGCTGAAAACTAACATCTTGGAAAATAAACAAAATGCAAACACTAGTATATAGGGCAATGCACAGTTTAGCTAACATTTCCTAGAATCTTAAGTCTGCCTTCTCTGATGTCTGACACAAGGAGTGCTTCAGGGAGATGGCCCTACCAACCCCTTGCCCTTGTGAATGAGAGCTTAAACTGTTGTCTCCAGTGAGGTTGGCCAACCTATGTCTGGGTTGCTGTGTCAATGGTGCTCAAGAGTACAGGTCTGAACTGGAGTACTGATATCGGGCTTTGTATAAACACTGAGAAAGTGGCAGTTTTTATTAGACCAGGTAAAGTAATGTTATATTCCTATTGCTATCCCCTTAGGGGCACAGTTGAGGTGCTGTGTGGTATGGATAACATTACTCTAACTATGCAATTTCTTTTCTAATGTACTCGCACATCAGTTTGCAGGGTCTGAGGCACTGCAAGGCAATTCTAACTCCCCCTTTATCAAGCTTGTATGAATATTCCTTGTTTTTAGAAGAGGTAGGTGGTGGCAGGGTATGATGGGAGGGCTTTGGGGTCACACATCACTGCCCTTCTGGTACCAACAGTGCCTTCCTCCAATCCCCTCTTGCAATCAGTAGCATTGGAGGGGCCATAGAGTGGAGAAAAGTTTGTTACTTATCAGCTGTGAGGGAGCACGTATACCAGCTTGAAGGTAGCCTAGGAGAAGGGAAGGCGACCTCCCGAGTCCCTACCCCGTGTCAGAGCCTAGCATGTCGGGGAATGGGTTTTCATACCTATGTATGGCATACAAAGCTTGCAGAGGAGAGAAGTGCCTTATTGATGTCAATGGGCATTCTCTTCCCCACTTGCCCCATCTCAGTGCCATGTGCCTGTGACCTGCACAGAGCATGCCCCTCTCCGTTCCCTACTCCATTTTCTGTACAGTGCGCTTGTGGCATGCACCGAGTGTACGTGTGAGTTCCTTAGGCAAGCTGGGTCTGTTGTTCCTTGCGCTGCTCAGCAGGAGGTCATTGAGCCTTGTTTGGCCCAGAACTGATTTATCTTAGCCAGGACTCGTAGGGTGCGTCTACAAAGCACCCTAAACTTGAAACAAGATAAGCAATTTTTCAAATCTATTTTGAAATAACTTATTTTGCCCCTCTGACTTAAAAGAAATTCCAAGTGTCCTGAATACTGGTCCTTGAGCACTTCAGTCCCTCTGACTTTTTGAATTAATTCCTTTAATGGCTCTTTAGGAAAAAAAAAATCCTAATAGCCATCCTCATTTTGATTATCCTTCCACTTTCGTGAAACTGACCCGTTTTGTGAACACTCAATCCAGGATTATTTGGTATGACCAGCTCTTGTATAATGTCCTCACTGTAGTTCCCTCTAGGGTGTGTGCCTGAGCAGCTGGGCATGAGGGAATGAAGGACTGCACACCTAATTAGTAGAGCCATGCAGCTGTGGCTTGTCTAGTTAGGTGCTTGAACCCTGGCGAGGACACACATGTAAGAAGAGATGGTGGCCTTGGCGGGCATAGGAAGTATGGAGTGAGGTGCAGAAGTGTGGGAATTTTGAATGTGCAGGGCTGCAGTGGCTGGAGAGAGATACGACTCTCCCCAGCTCCAGGACTGCACTGCTGGGTGGAGAGAGCCGGTATTGGGCATGCTTACCAGGTAACAGGTTAACACTTTACATCCCTAGTCTTAACTGTAGCTCCTTGAGATGATTTGCCTGTATGAATTCATACATCAGAAAATTCCCGCAATTTTCTAGCCTGCATCTTTTGTGGTTGTACATTTGTACTTATGGCCTTATGCTTGAAAGCAAATGAAAGAACAAATTTGTCACTCATTTCCCTCTGAAAAATTCTGCACAGCCTGAATGTTCCCTTAAAAACTCCGTGATCTTGTTTAGTTAAGGATTTAAAATAGGGCTGCCAAGCAATTATTTTAATTGTGCAATTAATTGAGATTAATTTTTTAATCGTGTGATTAGCCACAGTTTTAATCACTGCTAATAATAGAATACCATTTATTTAAATATGTTGGCTGTTTTCTGTGTTCAAATATATTGATTTTAGTTGTAACAGAATACAAAGTGTACCTTGTTCACTTAATTTTTGTTACTCATTTTTTATTACAGTGCAAATATTTGTATTTTTCAGCACTTAACAGAGATATCATTGTGCAATCTCTTTATCATGAAAGTTGAACTTTACAAATGTAGAATTATGTACAGAAAATCCCTGCCTTCAAAAATAAAACTTTAGTGCCTACAAGCCCACTAGGTCCTACTTCTAGTTCAGGCAATTGTAGAGACAGACAAGTTTGTTTACATTTACGGGAGATGAAGCTGCTCACTTCTTATTTGATATCACCTTAAAGTGAGAAAAGGTGTTCACGTGTGTGACGGACCCGGCCGTGTCTGGGCACAGCTGAGGGCGTCCGCTCAGGGCGAATTGCTTAAATCCGGGGCTCCTTACAGCCCCCAGACTGGTGACCTTTCCAAACCGGCCACAAACCAGTCCCACAGAGCGCTTCAGCAGCCTGCCTGAAGCCTCCCGAGCAAAACCCCTCCGACACCCCAGCAATATCTGTGCCCCAGATGGCCCCGGGCCTCATACACAGGTGGGGGGTCCTAACACCCAATCCCACCTACCCCGAACAAATTCTGTCTGGTTCCAAGAAACCAGCCACAGATCCCTGGTCAATTTACCCACAAATCACGCTGGGCCAATCCTTTAGAATCTAAATCTAAAGGTTTATTATCACAAGAAAGAAAAGCATGAGAGTAAGGTTGTTAAAGAATAGTATGTTACATGCACCGAATCTCCCAGTCCTCGATACAGGCTCTAGCAGAGATGTTACAGCTGCTGGTTTAAAAGTTCTTGTTGCACATCCCAGCATCAGGATGGGTTCACAGGTCTTCCAGGCTCTTCGACCCCTGCAATGCTGCCTCTGGGATGAAGTGCTGAGCTGAGAACAAAAATGGCATCGACCGCATGGCCTCTTTATACCTCCTTCCTGGCCTTTTCTAGTATGTAGCAGGTCACCTGGACAGAGGCCAATCTCTGTGTTTCCTGCTGGCTGCTCTCAGGTGACAGCCCCCATTCTTTAGGTGTGTCCATAGCCCATTGAGAGCCATTGTTCCACAGGGCCTCGGTAATTAGCATGTCCACAGGCTCGGCCCTGCCCAATGCTCAACCACATGCAGGGAAATCTTCAGTGTCCATACAAGTACATGCTAATAATTGCACACACAGACATTATACAAACACCAGAACAGCATACATAGGATTATCAGATAATCAGCTTCTATTCAATACCTCACATGGCCCCCTCCTATACCATTTTTGGGGCCAACACCCCCACCTATGGGTGCATCAGTGATCTGGCTGCTCCCCTCAAGATCCAGCCACGTGACAACGTGGCACTATGCTAGCTGACATCACAATATATTTATGTACCAGATGTGCTAAAGATTCATATGCCCTTCTTGCTCCTTACAGGAATACCAGCTTTGCTGTCCCCAAGGGCCAGTGTACACACCAACTTCTTTGAGTCATAAGGTCACAGTACTGAGAAATTGATTATGAAAACAATCAAGTTTATTGTCAAAGCATTAAGAACTAATGGAAAGAGAAAGTTACATATAAAAGAATTCGTGCACATGTTTTAGGGTATGTCTAGACTTCAGGATTTTTTCGGGATATCAGAGGTATCCCAGAAAAACTCCACCATGTCCAGGGAATGCATTTGCTCCTCTTTTTGCAGAAGAGCAAACACATTCTTTCAGAAGCCTTGTCTTCCCTGTTCTAGGAGGAAGAAGGGATCTTCCAAAAGAGGGGGATTTTCCAAAATTTAGCCCAGTGTAGATGGGCCAAGTTTCAGAAAAGTCTCTTCTGAAAAAAAAAAATCAAAAAAAGGTGTAGTGTAGACCTAGCCTTAGTGATTAAACTTAACTTTAATGGTATAACCATCTGCCTAAAAGCCATCTTATCTTGCCTAAATGTCATTTGCAGTGCTTCCAACGAGGGCAGGTTGGGATTTCATTTTCATGAATGTAATCACACTAATTACTTCCTCAGGTGCAGGAAAAAGAACAATCTTTTTGCCTTCTCTTTGTATCCCCCAGAATTCATCCTTTGTCCCCGGAGTCAGGTTGACTCCCCCACCCCCAGGTTTTATTCCTAGGTGTGCTGATTTCTTATTGACTTACAGCCTCATGTGCACATTGTCTGTCTGAAAACAGGACTTCTGTTGTGTTGGTTTGCAGTGGGGATGTAAGCAAGCAGTCGACTACCGAAAAAGCCTAGGCTTAAAAGCCAGTTCCCCCCAGAACAGTCTCCACGTTGCCACCTGCCCCCACTTGCACTTCTACCCTGCGGGGGAGCAGGGGAGGCTGCCACGAAGTAGTCTCTGCCCACAGAGGGCCCAGGCTTGCTGCAGGCAGAGGCTGCTCCACATCCCGCGGCAGCAGCCCCTGTCCGCAGCAGCCAGGACTGGCCACACACACAGTGCCGTGGGGGGGGTCCCTGGGGTTGCTTGCGCCAGGTCTGAGACCTACCCCCTGCTGTGGCTCTGCAGTTTAAATACAGTAGTAGCCAGGCTGCCCGCTTGCCCGCCCAGCTCTTACATTTAAGCTGCAGAGCTGCAGTGGAGGGGAGTAGCTCCTGGACCCAGTGCAAGCCAGGACTGAGGCTTCCTCCCTTATTGACTAATTGTATAGTTGACAGAATTGATATCGACTTACACGATTAGTTACTCGCTTCCTAACATCCTTAGTTTATAGTGCTCACTGTACCCATGAACTGAGAAGCACATAGTTGAATATGCAGCCTTGTTTGCCAACCTGACCTTGACTCAGACATTGTTAGGAACATACTGAAAATGTCTCTGTGTGTGTTTATAGGTAGTTTGGGGGTGTGTAGACACATACACAGTATTTATACATACACCTCACACTAATACTGAAGACCAATATGACCCCAGCTTTTATACCGAAGACCTCACATGCATGTTTTAGAGGTAGGTACTTTGAAAGCAGTGTGCTAGGTGCAGTGTATGTCAGGAGTGACTGTTAAAGAACAGTGATCTCTTTGCCAGTTGGCATTGAGGCCTTTTTAGGGTCACATTATGTGAATTGGCAAGCCTGGGTAGGCCTGTTGTTAATATCTGACTCTGAACGGTCTCTGTCTTCTCTCACCCTACTTGCAGCTGAAGCTGATGCAGTCTGAACTGAATGTGGAAGAAGTAGTAAACGACAGAAGCTGGAAGGTACAGAAGAAAATCATTGTTTTTTAAAGTCCATAATGTTATCTGTGGAAACTGACATGTAATCACAATGCAGAGATGTGAAACAAATGGAGGGGATGGATAGGCGATGCTGGGGAAAAATAAGATGGGCAGTTCTAGGGAACTGGTTTGACTCCCACACCTTCACCTCCCCTCTCAGCAGTTATTGTCTTACAGATAAAGAACCCTTCAAATAAACTGCCAAGGAAAGATAAAAACCGGCTTAAAGGTGAATGTGAGAGAGAGGAGGGCTTCAAAGTACATCACCTGCAGGTTTCCTAGTCCCACTCAGATGTGTAAGACTGAAGGTACGTCTACACTGCAAGCTTATTTCGGAAAAAGCTATTGTGGAAGAGATCTTCTGGAATAGCTTGTTTCAAAATAGAGCTTCCACGCTACAGGGAAGCCTCAAAATTAGTCTGAGGCAGGCTCCCCTAATGTGGACACGTTACCTCATTTTAGAGCCCCAGGAGGCACTGGGGAGGAGCTATTTTGAAACAGCAGCAGTGGAGAGTCTACACACGCCCTCTTCTGAAAGAGCTTTTTCGGAAGAGGCGTTGTTCCTCATGGAATGAAGTTTGCCAACATCAGAAAAAGCCTTCTGTTATTTCGATTTTCTTTCAAAATAACACAATTGCTGTATGGATGCTAGTATTGTTTTTCTGGAATTATGACCATTATTCCGCAAAAATGGTGCAGTGTAGACCCACCCTAGAAGTTAATGCTCTGTGTGTTTGGTGGTCTCTGATGTGAATTGGTATACTGCAGAGGAGCACTTGTGGAACAAACACCACCACATTTGTCATTATTTGGCCTTCTTGTGGACCATCTTCATTGGAGACACCTACGAATGAGTTGGCTAAGAAGACTGAACTATCTCCTACCTCTGGAGGGAGCTTCTGCATATCAGGATGGAGGCTTTCTGGTGCAGCGAGGCACTGTGTAGGAGAGAAGTTCTGGTGCTTATACTATGCCAGTTTGGGAATAGTTCGTTCTTCAGTTTCCGGGGCTGTTAATCTAGCACAAAGATCAATTTAAAGCCCAAAAGAAAATCTTGGAACTCTTGAAAATGGGCAAGTAATAGAACTCCTGGTCATCTTTCCCTGAAATCCTCTTGTAGTTTCCAATAGCACAGAAAGCTTTCTTTGTCAAGTTATCCAGCCTCCTCCCTCATTCCAGTGTCCCCTGTGGAAAGGAGACATATTCTCAAGGCAGCGAATACTGACATCAGACCAGGCTGAATTATGATCTTTGCTCTGGTACTCTGGAGCCAAGTTCCTTACACCCTGTCTAAGTAAGCTCTGGCCAGAAACAGCTTTATCTCATTTTTAAATTATGATGCTCTGAAGAGGTTAAAAAAGGGCTGCACAGCACAAAATACATACAAAGGATATGGATTTCCTTATGTTTGATTCAGATGAGAGTAGGGAATAAGAAAGCAGGACTCTAGGATTTTTATCCCCACTGCTGCTGGTGGCTGGCTGTGTGACGGAGTAAATAGAATTTCTTTCTATGTTTATCTTTCTGGGACATCAAAGTAAAAAGCTTTGAACCTACTGATTGAATTAGAGAATGTTAGTCTATTATGCTGTTGTGCAGTGTTACAAATTGCTGCTTAATTGCCCAATTTTGTAAGCAGCGGTGCACCAGAACTGAAACTGTCATTTTAAATTTTGTAGAAAAGTACGCAGCCCTTATGACAGAAACGTAAACTTAAAATGCAAACTAATGCTGACAAGTATTTTGCAAGATGGTTGCAAAATAAGGGGGTGGAGGGTTTGAAGTGAAATTGTTGTCACTTCAAAACATTTTTCAGAAGATTTTCATGCCTTTGGCTAAAAAACATGACCAAAATGGTCGTTGGAGTTTTGTTTCCTACAAACCAGGCTCTTAGTAAGTAGTAAGTAACCAGGCTCGTTTTTATACCATCTTTTTATTGACAACAGCTTTATTATTTAGAAAAAAATTGAATTTGTTAACTTCATTCAGAGTATTTCGAACAGTTCTACCCAGTACGTTGAGTCTATCAGCCTGAAATAGTATCTTTGAGGGAGGCAGGAATTGTTCCCATTCGTATCAATGGGAAATTAACTCTGAATCCAGTAGTAGACACTAGGGATGTTAAAAATCATGTGTTAGTGTAACCGCTGCAAAACTCTCAGTGGTCTCATGGTTCCCCGTGCTGCGGGCTCTGTGTGTGAACCTAAACTTTATACTGCAGGGCCCACAGCGAAGCCTCCCTGGTTGTGAGACCACCTGCCCCTGCCTGCCTGGCTCCTGGGGAAGAGGCTTTGCTGAGTGTGAAGGACACCGATAAGCATCGGCTTATCAGAGAGAAGCTTAGCCACTTACTCACACAACCCTAGTAGATGCTAAGGGTGTAAAATCCCGTTTAATTAGTTAACCGGTTAAACGTCATGTTTGACTGGTTGACTAATTGAACAGGGGCAGGCAGGCTGGCTATACACACCGTGGGCAGGGGCTGCTCCCACCTGGCTGCTTCCGGCCCTGTGGCAGGCTGCCAGGTCCCAGTCCATGCTGGTTATGACCCAACAGTCCCATGGGATGGAGCAGCCTTCCACGTGCAGCAGGCCGGGGGCCGTTCTGAGGGAATGGTTAACCATTGCCCAGTAAGCATCATGGTGTCAATGGGGAGCTTGGAAGGTAGATGTAACTTAGCAGAAAAGGGGGCTGTTTTAGGGGAGTGCCTATGAATAGAGCGGAATCTGGTTTATATCACCCATCTAGCCAGTCGGGGCTAGATTCACAAAGAGACGTAGGTGCCTAGGTCCTAAATTTAAGTGCCACTCAAAACCCTTGCTAAGCTGCCACCTAACCCTACAGTCAGCTAAAAATTACTCAGCGCCTGCATTTCTGCCATTAGGTGCATCAGAGACTCAAAGTTCCTTCCTCTGGGCATGCACGCTGCTGCCTCAGTCTTGGTGCCCACGCGCGCCTCTCATGCTGAAGCCCCAGCAAGATCCTCAAACCAAGTGAAACTAGGCAGTGCTCTGCCTGTCTTGCCTGCAGGGCACAGTTTGGTAGGTGTTCTCAGAGAGTGCCCATGCGCGCCTCTTATGCTGAAGCCCCAGCAGGATCCTCAAACCAAGTGAAACTAGGCAGTGCTCTGCCTGTCTTGCCTGCAGGGCACAGTTTGGTAGGTGTTCTCAGAGCACTCGGAACTTCACCCAAAATGGGAGGGGAGGAGAGACTCATCTCTGAGGCGGGAGACCCAGGTTCAAATCTCTTCTCAGGCAGAAGGGGGCTTAAACAAATCTTTTAAAGTAGAATCTGAACCTCTGCACCTTGCAAACTGGCAATTGCTTACTGAGGTTGGGGACAGACTCTAAAGATTCCCCCTTCCCCTTCCAGTGCTAGGAGCTCAATCCAAAGAGCATGGGACTGTGGAAAGGGGCAAACTTTGAAACAGCCTTAAGTACCTCTATAGAGTACCTCTACCCCGGACCTTGTAATTGATGTTATGAATCGGTATGAAGCCTGCATTGCTGCTCTTGCCGTTTCAGAGCTTAAAAGGTAAGTGTTAAGGTCTGGTTATTACTTGAGAAATCTCCATGATAAACCTTATTATCGCAGGCAGAGGGATTGAGTGTGAATTGCTGCTGAGCTGATGTTCTGACTTGATTCTAAGAGATGCTCTTGCCATTATTCAAAGCTTGTCCAAACACAAACTAGAATCAAAATAACTAAATCAGTGTAAATTCTTTTATTTTGGTGCATAAGAATGATTTCAGATTGAGTGTTCTAGTTCGAGTTCATTTAAATTGTTTTCTATAGTTGCTTAATCCCATGAGTTGTGATTTGTTAATTTATCCACAAGCCAGTTGTATTTAGTATGAGTCCTCCGATTAGGAGACAGGAAGGTCGTCTGAGGTTAGTGGTTGATTTACCTGATTTTAGCCAAGCATGTTGCTGAAGGTGGCTGCTGCAGGTGTCTGGGGTGCTAGTATGAGCACCTGAAGGATAGGTTGCTGTCAAATAACTGAAATTGTTTTATCCCAAACCATTGCATTGATTGGAAACTGTATAGAGTAGCTCTCCAAAGCTTGAACAGACTGGCATGTCATTTGCATTTCATCCTCCACTATAATGCTCCACCTCAGGTGTGCACCAGAGCATCTGTTGAGCAGCGCAGTGATGCAAGACAACACATTAGCTCAGAAAGTAAAGACTAATTTGTATCCAGCTAAAATGCTCAAGTGAATGGAGACTGATAGAACGTAGTACGCTCAGACACTGGGGCCGGTGCTTTTCTCCCCGTGAAACGTGCCACAGGGGAGTGACCGCAAATTGCTAGGGTCTTAATTTTGTTTCATCTAAAAATGAGCCCATCTAGTAATATGCAGTCGCTTGGCACCAGGCTGCAAGTGCTGGATACCCGCCTGCCAGGAGTGTGAGTAGGCCAAGGAGCTCCGTGAGTGCCAGTGAGCATTAGGGCTGCAAGGCCAGCCATCAGTCCTAGTTTGAAAACTTGCACTGTCGAATGGGAGACTTGCCAGGCTGGTGCCAGCTTGTGTTGTGTTGAGGATGCTTATGACAAGGAGTGACTCCCTTGTATTTTGGTCTTACACCCTGTCTAAGTAAGCTCTGGCCAGGAACAGCTATATCTCATTTTTAAATTCTGATGCTCTGAAGAGGTTAAAAAAAGGGCTGCACAGCAAAAATACATACAAGGGATATGGGTTTTCTTATGTTTGGTTCAGATGAGAGTAAAGAATAAGAAACCAGGACTCTAGGATTTTATTTCCACTGCTGCTGGTGGCTGGCTGTGCGACCAAGTAAATCGAATTTCTTTCCGCATTTATCTTTCTGGGACATCAAAGTAATCGTCTGTAAAAAGCTTTGAACCCATTTATTGTATTCGAGACTATTAGTCTGTTATGCTGTTGTGCAGTATTACAAATTGCTGCTTAGTTGCCCAGTTTTGTAAGCAGCGGTGCACCAGAACTGAAACTGTCATTTTAAATTTTGTAGAGAAGTACGCAGCCCTTATGACAGAAATGTAAACTTCAAAATGCAGACTAATACTGACAAGTATTTTTCAAGATGGTTGCAAAATAAGGGGGTGCAGGGTTTGAAGTGAAATTGTTGTCACTTGAAAATATTTTTTTAGAAGTTTTTCATGCCTTTGGCCAAAAAACATGACCAAAATGGTCGTTGGATTTTTGTTTCCTACAAACCAGGCTCTTGATAAGTAGAAAGTAACCAGGCTCATTTTGATACCATCTTTTTATTGACAACAACTTTGTTACTTAAAAAAAAAAATTGAATTTGTCAACTTCATTCAGAG